ACAAAGAGTGAACCTTAATGTAAACTATGAACTTTAGTTAATAATAATGCATGAATATTGCATTTTGTCAATTGGAACAAATGTACCACACTACTGCAAGATGTTCCTAATAGTTTCCTAGGGCTGCCATAACAAAGTACCACACACTAGTTGGTTTAGAATAACAGTAATTTCTTGTCCCACTGTTATGGAGAGCTGAAGTTTGAAATGGAGGTGTCAGCATGGCCAGGCTCCCTCTGAATGCGCTGGGGAAGGGTTTGCCCCATTTCTCTTTCCCAGCTTTCTGGTGAAAACCTTAGGTCTTCCTTGTCTCCACTTTCTCATGGCATCTCACCATGCCTTCATATTATCTCCCCTCTTGTGTGTTTGTCTCTGTGCCAAATTTCCCCTTTTCATAAGGACACCATTATATTGGATAAGGGACCACCCTAATCACCTCATCTTGACTACATCTGCAAAGACTCTATCTCCAAATGCAGGAGAAAATGTGGGCAGGAGTTGGGGAGGGGGGAATATATGGGAACTCTGTACTCTCTACTCGCTTTTTTTCTGCTCTAAGCAATAAAGTCTATTCATTAAAATGTTAAAGGCTTAAAAAATGGCCTGCCACACAGTACATATTCAATAAATGTTAGCTCCTTTTGGATGTAACTTATTCAGTGTCCCGGATACAACAGATTTTATTATTCTTGCATTCCAAACCAATATTGGCACTGCCCAAAAAGTAGATAAGACTTAGCTTCTTCCATATGACTTTGTCCCTAAGTGTTGAGTGCTGGGTTAGAAAGCCACCTGCTCACAAACATCTCCTGCCTTGACTGAATTTACACATGTGCGCGTGCACAGGTGAGTACACCCACACACACCTAAAATGGCTTATCTGCCACCAACCCTGACCCAAACAAAAGCAGAAACTTACTAGTTCTCCTTGTAAAGGCGTCACGGGAAATATCTATACTGAGGGCCACATGCCCATAGAGGGAAAAAGAAAACAGCAAAAACTTTGTGAATATAAAACATAATAAATTTCTTGGTTGAAAGATGCACATTAGCTATTGAACTAAATTTTTAAAGGAAAAGAGCCATAAATTAGTTTTAATAAATATAAACATACTTTAATTTCCAACATAGGGTGGGATATAGAGAAGAAAAAAAGTGACAAAGAAAGAGAAAAATTTTTTAATGTCAGAAGAAACACCAATCAATATTCCGCCTTTAAAAAGAGGCAGAGAAAAAAAAGCAAGGAGGAAAGAAAGGGAAGAGAGGAAAGTCCCGGAAGCCCTGGCGTGGTGGTAAGATGCAGGACACACCTCTTGTCACATCATGCCAATCCCCTGGGCTGCAGGCTTGTGGCTTTGTTCAAAAAGAAGGGCAGGCCAGGCACGGTGGCTCATGCCTATAATCCCAGCACTTTGGGAGGCCGAGGTGGGATGATCACCTGAGGTCAGGAGTTCGAGACCAGCCTGGCCAACGTGGTGAAACCCTGTCTCTACTAAAAATAACAAAATTAGCCGGGTGTGGTGGTGTACACCTGTAATCCCAGGGACTCGGGAGGCTGAGGCAGGAGAATTTCTCGAATGTGGGAGGCAGAGGTTGCAGTGCACTGAGATCGCATCATTGCACTCCAGCTTGGGTGACAAGAGTGAAACTCCATTTCAAAAAAAGAAAAAAAAAGGAACGGCAGTGTGTTCGATGATTGAAATCTTTTTTCTTTCCTTTTTTTTTGAGATGGAGTCTTGCTCTGTTGCTCAGGCTGCAGTGAAGTGGCCCAATCTCAGCTCACTGCAAACTCCACCTCACAGGTTCAAGTGATTCTCCTGCCTCAGTCTCCCAAGTAGCTAGGATTACAGTAATCTGCCACCACGCCCAGCTAATTTGTTGTGTTTTTAGTAAAGATGGGGTTTACCATGTTGGCCAGGCTGGTCTCGAACTCCTGACCTCAAGTGATCCACCTACCTCGGCCTCCCAAAGCGTTGGGATTACCGGCGTGAACCACTGCATCTGGCCTGAAACCTTTGACACTGACTTATTTCTTAATCATGGCAGTGTAGGCAGGCCCTGTTTTAAAAGAAAATCCAATCTATGAGAACCCATATTGAAAACACAGACATGTACATAGGTGATGACTTATCTGCCTCTGTTAAGGTTTTTGTTTTTCCCCTCTTTACGAAAGAAGCCACCTCAGTAAATCTTTCTATAGCATGACTACAATCCCCCCTCGAGCACAAAAATTTAGATTTTCATAAAACTCTCCAAGAACCCATCTGTCACAAACATCAATACTTAGCTCTTTCACACTATTTGTGACACCCAGAGCCTCACGACTGATGGAATCTCCCTGTCTTGACTTTTCATCCCTTCATTGGTTGAGAGTTTGTTTCCTAACCAATGTTGCTGAAAAGAATTCAGCACTGAGTAGGGGTAGGGCAGGAAATGAGGGATTACTGCCTGGGGACATAGAAGAGAAAGAAAAAAATCACTTACCATTCTACCTAGACATGGCTCCTCTTACAAAGGGAAGATGCTGGAGAAGGGCCGAAAAGCTCTGTGATGTAAGGGTGCAGGGATGAAGGAGGATCTCCAGCCCCATCCTGGGTTGATACTGAGAACAATTTTCATACACACATACACCTTCTCTCCCCCACACACAAGAAACACACACCACACACACACACACCACCAACAGTCATACCACATGGTACACAGATGTGGTTTTGTGCTTTCCTCTAAGCTACACCCACTCATGTGCACAAAGCCTCACCTAGAAAAGCACTGGTGTGTAGGAAATGGCACACACACTCTCTCTCCCTCTGGGTGCCTCCACATATACACTCAGCAGCACTCAAACGACAGGTAGTTTTTCTATGGCTGGGAAAGAAAAAGTGCCCAAGTAAGCAAGAGAAGGTGAGAAGTGGGAGAAGAGAATGGGTAGTAGAAAAAGAATTTGTGTGGGTTGAGAGCCAGTGAGGATGGCCTGCGGAAGTGACCTCACGATGTTAGTTTCACTTCCCTCTAAGTACTCCAAGACACTGCTGGGCTCTGCAGACCATGTACCTCTCCAGCCTGCTTGGAGATATTCATTTCACTGCTCATTAGCACCTCCACCAGAGGTATAGGCTGAGAACCACTGTTGCTGACAAACAGCCAGAATGACAGCTTAAATTTGATGAGGTAGGAGCAAAAACCAGACAGAGGCTTAGAGGATGCTCTTCAAGCTACTTGGATAAATTTTAAAAGGTAAAATTGTTTGCTTATAGATGGACCTCTTTTTCCCATGTCTGTTTGCTATTGCTAAAGTTATTCAAGGGGCACTTTATATGCAACAAAAGACCACACTGAAGGAAGAGAAGAGTCTGCTCTCCCACTACACCTGGCATTCGAGTCCATGAGTTTAGATCCTACTGCCCACAGGGCTGTCCTCACACACTCCTGCCCTGTGGTCAGAACAGGAGCCTACCCCAGGGAGAAGGGCCCTCGGATGGCCTCTTAGGGAACTCTCAAATCACTTTTTCTTTTTCCATTCTGATAATTGTAGACCAGATTGGAAAGTGTAGAAAAATTTCTTTATGGTTGATGAAATAATAAGAAAGAAAATGAGTTGTTTCTTTCACAGCTAGCAAAGCCTCAGGAAGTACTCTTGGTAAGAGTAAGATAGATAAACACCAAAAATTTAAAACTCCAAATAAACACCAAGATTTGAATTTCTAAAGATTTATAAGCAACATTAATAACACCTTAGACGATAAAAAGGGGAAAAATTCAAACATTGTATAGTTTTGCTTTTGTTGGCTGAGCTTTTATTTTTGTTTTTGTGGGATTTTTTAAGAGGGGAAAAAACATTTGAAAATAAAAGAATTGGACAATTTATTTAAGGTTTCTGAACTTGGCTTCAGAATCTAAGTTTTGTTTTTTGCTCCTTCAAACAAAGATGCCTTCAGGTGTGATGGCTTTAGGTTTTGTACAGCTCCTTATTTTCTCACACAGGGCAAATGGCTTGTCTCATGTGCACAGAAAGGGCTGGAAAATATTTTTGTGATTCGAGTGCAGCAGAGAGTCTAGGATTCCAGAGGAAGTGGAGGCCTCCCGTTCCGCACAGGAAACAATCTTCAAGCAGGCCTTAAATGCCAGATTCCAGGCCGAGTTTAACTAACCACTGACAGCTCTGTAAACAAAGCAAGGACAAAAAGAGCCCGCTTCCCCCTTTCTGGTAGTCATTTTGGGTTTGGGGGCTGCAGGGGAATTCTGGAATACTTGACTCCATGGCACAAAAACGCAGGGGAAACGGGCTCCTCATTTAAAGAGTTGGAAGGGGAAGGTCTTTCCGGAATTAAAACCATCACAGAGGAGGTAGGAAAGGGTAAAATGGTTGGGTTACATCCGTAGAAAGAGCAGAGATTTTAGAACTTGGAAAACAGCTTGATCACCACTTAACTGCTTTTAAAAATGTTGCTTCATGATGTTTATTCATGATGTTACTGCTGCAGTCTTTATTAAAATCCTGATGCTTCTTTGAGAATATGCACATTATACGCCGAGATACTGTATTATTTTATTTCTCGCTTTCACTTTTCTCCTAGTTCCTACATATTCCTCTTCTTGCCACTTTTCTTTTCTGTTTATCATTCCTGTTTTCCTCCTTCTTTGTTCACTTTTTCATAACTTTGGTCTGGGGTTCAGCAAGTTACAAAGAACAAAATCATTCAGTAGAATTTCAAGTGATTCTACCAATATTTCAAGTCTTCAAAACCTCTCTGTCTCCTGAGGTCTTTTTAAAAGAATATATAATCTTGGGATCTTACTCACTTGTCTCTAAGAGATTCATGAATGAGACTGAATTTAACTTGGCTCAGGAGTCAGAAATTGATCACTGGCTACCTTATCAGCTTTCTAAGAGTAAAGAAAAATCAGGAGACTGGCAAATGGGAGAGGGTCCACAGTGACTGAAAGAGAGGTAACACACTGAGTTATCTATGATATTGACTCTACCTCCTCTCCTTCAGGTCCAGACGTCATCTGGTCTCCCTGAACCTGAAATCACACCATGGATGATTTTGAACGTCGCAGAGAACTTAGAAGGCAAAAGAGGGAGGAGATGCGACTCGAAGCAGAAAGGTAAGGATCTAGGGTGAAAAATACTTGTATTCCCTTATTAACAACGTTGGTTTCAGGCCTCAAAGACCATCCTTCTGAGAGGCCATATTGCACACCAAACTGTTCGCAAAAGTAGTTATGGAAAATTTTTCTGCTAAGACTCTAAATTTAGCATTTAAAAAAGGAGAACAAACAAGGATCAAGAAAAAGAGAAATTTGAGAGGAATCAATTGATAATTGCATATTGATAATTGCATTTAATCAATACCTTTCACATTGGAATGTCTTAAATGACAAAAGTAATGTGTGAGTGAAGATTTAAAAAGCTTATATAATAAGAAATGACAGGAAAATGCCAAGTATTGAATATTGGAACCATTTAGGAAATGAGAGTCTTCAATCTAAAAAAAAAAAAAAAAACGCAAAAAGCCCTGGATGAATCTTGTGAAAAATTTTCATTCTTATTAGAAAAGTATTGAACTCTACGGATCTGCATAGTACAGGTTAATAGTGGGCTATGTTACCGAGGAGATTCTGGGTGTAATTGGAAGCTGTTCATGTCATGTGAGGCCTCTATAGTGGTGACTACGAGGTCAAACTGGGGAGATAAAGCTTTGGCATATAAAACCTGGGGCATAAATGCATATTTTAACATTTTAGGCCTCAGAACAAAGGACAGTGTGGTATTTGATGTGACTTAAATCAGATGTTCTTTTGAGAAAGCAGGTGAGGCATTCACAGAGAGAAAAATGTTAAACAATGACCTTAAAATCAAATTGATTTTGTTCCCAGTAACTCCAATGCACAGATGAAAGATGACTCTTTAACGATCCCAAAGTAGAAAAGTGGAAACTTACACCTATAATGAAAAGTATTGTTCTTATGTTCTACTTATTTGCATGGAGAATGCAAAAGCAGAAGATAAAGTAACTGCCTATGATAAACTTGGCCAGAGTCAGCTGCCATTCATGAAATGACTAAACATGTCCACAAGGCACTATGGATGATACCTGCATTCCGTTGGTTCAAATCCTAGCTCTGCCATTTACAAGCTGTATGGCCCTGAGCAAATGATTTTTCTCTTTAAACCACAGTTGCCATATATATAAAATAGGCATAATATCTACATAGCCTGTGTGATTGTTGGGAAGATTACTGAGCTTCATGAATAGCCTAGTCAGGTACCTAACACATAGTAGTTTTTTGTAAATGATAGTTTTTCATAAATGATAGCTATTATTATTATTAACCATTACCACTAGCCAAACAAGTAAGAAACAACAGAGCAGCATAGCCAGAGCTAAACCATCATGCCAAGAAAAGGAAAGGTAGTCATCATCCTGCAATGGAACTAGTCAGAGAAAGTTTCTTGGTGGAGGTGAGCCATGGAGGAGGTAATGATGGTGATGAAAAGGGAAAGGGAACCTGTCTAGGTGAAGGAATGACACCGGCAAAAGTGCAGAAGTAGAAATAAGAATCCTGGTGCAAGAAACCTGTTGAGTGTTTGAGGGAAAATGGACTGGACTTGTATATCTTGGCTGTTCCTATTTGCTATACAAGGAATAGACAGAGACTTAACAAGGGAGTTATGTGTGATGACACTATGCTAGAGAAACTTATCTACAGTGGACTAGAATATGGGGATACCAGCACTGGAAGAGATAGTATGGAATATAGGATAATGAGGGCCTGAATCAGGTCAGTGGGTGTGGAAATGAAGAAAGATCAAATATGAGAGTCTTTACAGAGGGAGAATTAGCAAACCTTTTAAGAGAGCGAAGAACTTACAGACGATTCCAAAGAATATACGTCTGAGAAGCTGGAAGGAAAGCCTCTGCTTTGTCCCAAATGGAGGATTTCCTTCTTGAATGGTCAGAGGAGCAGTGTTTAATTTCAGGTAGAAACCACATCCAAAAAGAGATTTCCTGCAGGCATGTGGAGATAGGAAATTTCACTCTTTGTTCAAAAAGGGAGAGAAATCATTATTAGAGAAATAAATTTGGGCAGACACAGTATGGTGGTGCCAGTACAAAAGCTAAAGGGATATTCCCAAAAAAGCAAGTGTAGAAAAAGTGAGCGATCATCAAGGTATAATGGAAACCATCAAAGTCGACAATGTACCAGGGAGATGGGGGAGAACCAGGGAGAGTATGAGGCTCAGTGCTGAGTGGACATGGTGGACATGGAAGTCTTGTGGGAGGTGGCTGGGCTCAGTGAACCACACCTCTTATTCCTTCCAATGCTGTGTTATTTCACCTCAAGTTCTCACGATAGTCTACAAAATATCTTCATCCAACAACTATTTATTAAGCACTAACCAGGTTTAAGTGTGCTAAGGATGGGAAAAATAATGGTGGTAAAGAAGTAGACATGGTTCCTGCCTTTATGTACCTCACAGCATGCTAGTAAACCAAAGTGTAACAGAATCAGAAAGCAGACAGGTCAGGGTTTAGGGGCAGGCCTGATAGAGTTGTGGCTAGAGAGGCTCAGGACTGGGGATGTAGACATTGGGCATCAGGCTAGATTGCCATTGTCAGCTTCTTTCCTTTCCATGTGAACAGGGGGTCAGGGAATCATTGACAGAGGTGTGACAGAACTAAATTGCTGTGGTTAGAGCCATAATGTCATTAGAGTGAATAAACCCAATTTCTTCAGATTCAGGACTTTGCTTAAGAATTGACCACACAGCTACATGGTTTCTTCCTTCGACTTTTTTGTTTTGTGTGGAAGAATTTGTCTTCTTTTAATTTGTCTTCTTTTTTAATTTGTCTTCTTCATTCTTTTACATTCAGATGTAAAAGGAATGTACACAGTAAATCTTATGTACCCTGAATAATCTAAAATAAACTTACACAAATTAATCCTAATCTTGTTTAACTTACATTTCTGTCTGTATTACTTCTTTTGGGATATTATATTGTTTTCTTTTCTGTTTTTATTTCTTCTTTTCTTCCTTTTCTTTCTTGCTTCCATTCATTGCCTTCCTTCCTTCTTTCCTTCTTTCTTCCTTCCTTCTTTCCTTCTTCCTTCCTTCTTTCCTTCTTCCATCCTTCCTCCTTCCTTCCTTCTTCTTCCTTCCTTCCTTCCTTCTTTCCTTCCTTCCCTTCCTTCCTTCCTTTTCTCTCTCTCTCTCGCTCTTTCTTTCTTCTTAAGGAAGAGTAGTACTTATGTATTTCCTTATACTCGTACTAAGTTTACCTTTCCATGTTTCAAGGTGAACCTTCTAGTTCTGCTATTCTGAGATTTGGTAAGTCCATGTCCACCCTTCAGAATTTTGTAAAATCTGATCATTTATGGGAATAGTGAAAGTCAGGCTTTATGGTTCAGTCAGCTCTGGTGGGAAAGTGCAGGGTGTGTGCAGGAAATAGGTGGCCAGAAGCAGAAATCAAGGCCATCTAAAATCATGGTTTTGATCTGAAGACAAAGGGCACGTGAGACCCTGAGCAAGTCCCTCTTCCTTTAGCTCCAGACCTTGGCTTCCTCCTCTAAAATAAGACTAGCCATTTTCTCTGGGGTATTGGTGGTCATTTTAATTTTTTTTTTTTTTTTTTTTTGCTTTTGGTATTGTAGATATTTCTTTACAACGATCATATGTTACTTTATTTAAAGCCAAATAAAAATTAAGGCAATTTTCTATTTTGAAAAAAAATAATTCTATGGCCCTATGCAGTATACCTGAGCCCAGATGGGAGAAGACTTAACTTCTCTTTGATTTTAGGGAACTAAAACAAAGATTGCATCCCTGATCTGGAGGGCAGTTACCAACTACCGGTAATAGAGTGGCTCCAAGGCTCAGAGCTGCAGATTCATTCACTTACTCTCAACACATTTTCACTGGGCATCTATTCCACAAACAGGCTCTATTTTGGGTACTGAGAATAGACCCACAGAGTAACAGTGTTGGGAAATATGTGCTTAATCCTTTTCAACCTATCTAAAACCAAGTAAAGATCGAGGAATTATACTTTTATATCCTCAAACATAACATGTACCCCGTATGGGTTCATACTTATTAAAGAGGACCCACAGCCTTTGTACACTTCACCCTTGCAGACAGTGTGGGGGACGGAGTACTACAGAGAAGAGAAAGTCCATTGACTTTCCTTACCCATAAAAGCTTTCCAAATAAAAATACCCTGTTCTTTTTATTTTTATTAGTATTGAGTTTGATTACCAGGTGCAGTTTTATGTTGAAATGATAAACAATTTAAAACTTGTCCTTTTCCCCGGTGTTATAACCATAGATTAAAATAAACCGAATTTTTACACATTTTATTCTTCAGAAATAGACCTTTTCAAAGACTATTTTGCAAGCTAATTGCAGGCTTTGTGCCATGCTGGCTTGCATGTGCTTGGGACTGGCATTTACTCACTGCATCCGAGCTGCCCTGAGACTCTATCGTCCACATATCTCCTTCTAAGGGTTTTAGCCCAGTTCATTTCAAATAACCTCGTCTGCAAACGTAGTGCATCAAAAAACGTTCTTCCAGCCGGGTGCGGTGGCTCATGCCTGTAATCCCAGCACTTTGGGAAGCCGAGGTGGGCGGTCAGGAGTTTGAGACCACCTGGCCAACATGGAGAAATCCCGTCTCTACTAAAAATGCAAAAAGTATCCAGGTGTGTGGTGGGCTCCTGTAATCCCAGCTACTCTGGAGGCTGAGGTAAGGAGAATCGCTTGAACTTGGGAGGCAGAGGGTGCAGTGAGCTGAGATTACGCCACTGCACCCCAGCCTAAGCGACAGAGTGAGACTCAGTTTCAAAAAAAAAAAAAGTTTTTCCTTCTTTATCTTGCCCCTTAGCCTGTGCAACTTTTATGCCATTACCTTGTCCTTGTCTTTCATCCGAGTTCTTGAGATAAGATCTTCAGATTTGGCAAAAAGGAAGGAAGTACTTCATTTCATCATTAAAAAAAAAAAAAAAAACAGATGTTGAATACCTTCAAAATGCAAGATACTATACCGAACCATAGGAATCAGTGGTCACCAGTAGATAGTGTCCCAGTGGTCACTAAGCTCCTATTC